ATACTATAATTTACATGAATTATGATAAAATCCTGAGACTATTAAAATGAAATTGAAAATTAGTTAATAAGAAAACGGAGTTCAACCCATAATGAACAAAATTACTACGCTACTAATTTTCAGATGCTTTTATGAAAAATAACAAAGACCCGGAGGTGATTTTCTCGTGATCTACTGATCAGAAATTCGAAAATTTAACATCAACGTGTTCACTGAGTTAAGAGCTTCACAATGGTATAAATTTCATTCTGAACGGACTACTGGACGCTGAGATAATTGAAGAAATGCAATTATTTATTTTGAGAAATAGAACATGAAACACTTTAAATTCAAAAATCTTTGGAAATAGAATGGGATCTTTATTTTGGAAAATTGATTAAATTATTTTGATCACATGAAATAATGATATATGACGAATTATGATGAGAATGTAAAGAAAATTTTATAATGATCACATGATATCAGAAAAGGATTACAAGAGTGAAAGCGAAAGTGTCAACAATGCGATTGGCAGCTCTTGAAATAAAATTAGACAATTTAAAAGGCAAAATGCAACAATGTGCAAAACTTTTATTGAATAATCGAAAAATGCAAATTTTGAGATACATGAAATTAAGAAAACAGAAAATGAAGAAAAGTAAAATCTAACACAAAAGATTAGGAATATGTTGAAATCTTGAATTCTACTTTCTTGATGATTTAATTCTCGAAAGATGAGTAACTTTTCTATATGCTTCTTCAAGTGAACGAATCCTATTCTCTTAATGAATCAAAAGAGAAGAAATATTAGTTAGTTCATTTTTTAAATGTTCACATTCAGCAGAAAGTTCAGCATTTTGATTTAAAGAAATTGATAATTGTTCTCTTAATGCAAAGTTTTCTTGACAAATTTCTTAGACTTCTTGACGAGATCCTGTAGTCTAAATAGAGGAAGGGCACACATTAGAAATGTGAAGTTGGGCATCTTCGACCAGCGAGTACCAGTTCACGCAAAGGTTAGCTTAATGAACCCAACGATGTTTCAAATGGCTACATATCGATACAGGACAATAGAGGCTGTAATAACCAGTTCTAAGCAAGGAAACTCACGTTATAAAATCTATAGTATAGTGAAAAAAAGGCAAAAAGTTAATATGCTGCAGTCATATTAAATGAGATCGAATGTACTATCACAGTCTACACAGGTGATAAGCATGTATATAACCATCTACTCTAGCTAGACCAGTGCAGAGCATACATTTTTCCATCACCTTCTAATTTAGAACTATTCTTAAGTACACTCAGGCTCACCTTAAAAAATTCTATTACACTTACGTTCTCTTTGATGATATAATGCTTTACGTTTATTAGAAGAAGATTTTTTCTTATTAACGCGTGTCATATTTTTTGTATAAAAATTTAAAATTTTGCAATAATTTTGGAAAATAGAAGGAATTCTAGCATGATGGAAGTTTGTTTTGATTGGTAAATATTCATGATCTACATGATAATGTTACACCAAATAAAACTAATAAAAATTCTAAATTTTAATCACGTGCATATTAAATGATTAGCTAGATATGATACTAATGATACTAAATAGTAACGAAAAGTGTAACGAAGTGCATTATACATTAAAAGAACATGTATACATGATATATACATGGTAAATACTAGTAGTAAAGTTAACGCGTTTGTGTAATAAAATGATTTTGTATTTAGTTTTTATTTTAAAAAATTGATCTGTATTATATCTTTTAAAGGATAACACGAAAAGTTTAATAAAAAAATATTTTTTTACTGAAAACTAATTTTAAAAACTTTATATGTAATGACCTGAAAAAATATTGGCCCTTGTTCTATTCATAATTGTCAAATAGAATCAGATCAATATCGTGGAATTACAAATAATGCATTAAAAAAAGCAAAAGAAAAAGGTACCTTTAATCAATATAATTATTTAGAAGTTGGAAAGCAATTATGTTATTTTCATTATCTTAATATTATTGAGCCTGATCGCAATAAATTATCAGCTAATCGTATGCGAAACACTAATATACAAAATAATGTAGTTGTTAATAATATAAAACCGTTATCATTTGGTGACAAGATTGTGTTAATGACTAAAATATTATATGACAAACAGAAAAAAGAAAATCAAATAATTGAATTGGATCCAAATCGTTTTCAAACATTGCTTGAAAATGCTGAACCATTATTGAAAGGATTTTTTAATGAATTATATAATTCATTTATTCCAGAAAGAAGGTTTGCTTATAATAAAAAAGAGGATAAAAAAAAGGTAGTTAATATATGCTATTCAATAACAGCAATATGTAATAAATTTGTAAACCATTATCCTTTGGAAATCGGACTCTATCTTGCAGCATCAGATGTATCATGCGACGCAATCAATACAATGCATAATGCTGGTATTTCTGTTTGTTACAAAACTGTTGAAAACTATAAAAAAAAGATAGCTAATGCACATCCAGAAAATATTCGAAAGTATTTTGCTGAAAGGTAAGCATTTTGAATTCAATTTTCAATTAGAATTAAACTAACACTTTTGACCATTAGAATAATAGCTTTTTTGTATATAATCTTGATGATTATCATAACATACATGGAATAAGACGCCCTGATACTGTATTCCTCTCAACCGCAGTCTATTTTGCAATATGTGTTAGCAAAGAAATTTTAAACTATGCTTCAATTCCAATAAATTAATAAATTACAATTGCAACTCGGTTCATAATTCTACAAATATAGATGTATCCTTGATTTGTTGGCATTTAATTACATAGTATCACAGAATTTTTGATCTATCATATACACAAAGAAAAATCAGTGGACTATTTCACAAAGCGTAAATCTCACTAATTTTGATCAAATTGATCTTCTAACAGTTCATTGTTATGATAATGCTATAAAAGAAAATACAAAAGAAAGAAATATGGAAGAAGTACGATTAATTGGAATTAAAGAGTCTCAACTTCATTCATTAAATGATTATCTAAATGCATTGGAGATGATTCTTTCAATAAATAAAGATATTGGACGCACAAATGATTATGTAATACCAGTCATTGCTGATTGGCCTGAACAACTTTTCATACGAAAAGCATTAACTTCTCTACATCAACAAAATACAACATCATAAATACCAGCATCTATTGATGCCTTTATACCTATATTAGGTCCTCTCCATGTTTCATTAAACAGTCGGGAGCAAGTTTTAATAATTTATTATTCTTTTTTTAAAAAACTTTTTCATGCAGTTTTTGGAAGCTGAAAAATTCTTGCAAAGAAACCAAAACTATGGAGAATCAATCTCCTTCTTGAACTTGCTTACCAAAGATGGTTAAAGATAAAAGTAAAGATACTAGAAAAATTTGGATCTACATATAAAGATGTAGAATACAGAATGTTGATTGATCTTCTGGACAATGTAATTCCAGCAACACTAGATGTATATGCAATTCTTTTTCGTTCAGGTTCTTTTGATGAATACATTGAAACTGTTTTTTGAATATGGACTTTTGCATTATGCTAGAATCGTAAAAACTACAACAAGGTCCCTTTAGTATTCTTGTCAGATATTTTTTATTGGCAAGATAAAAGCATCCAATATTAGATGTAATCAAAATGTTTCTTGTAAATTTCAATGATTATTTTGTTGAAAACTTACATAGTTAAATACGAGCAAATATATCATCCAGTGATAGTGTCGAAGCTATTATTAAACAGACTTGTATTCTAGGTATGTATAAAATATAATTATATTTATTTAAAAATAATATTAACCAAGTTTAAAAAAAAATAGATGCAAACAAGCAATCACTGTTTAAAAAAAACATTTCATACAAAAAAAAGATACCCATATACACCCTCTACTCTAGAATATTTGATAAATAGAACATCATTATTTTTGCTAGATTATTTTCGTCAGTTATTCTAACATATTAAATGTACACCTATTAAGACAACCACTAGTGATAAAAGGCAAGAAAGAAAGAAAAGAAATAATTTAAAATATAAACTTGCCGTTTTAAATGAAGAAATTGATGTCATGTGCTTACCAATAGGTTATACTACAGGAGTTCTTCTCTTACCAGAACTTTGCGATGATTGCTACAAGAAATTGGATGATGACGGTAGTGGCACTGTATTAATCTGTGGTCATGGTTTTCATTGGCATTGCTAATATGGATGTCGATACTGTGAACAATATTACAAAAATAGAATAAATAAGAATATTAATTCATTTTTACAAAGACTTGAAAAAGGAGCTGATACGTTTTCTGAAAATGATGGATTTGAAGAAGAACTACAAAATTTAGAAGAAGATACAGAAGAGCATGAAAATATTCAAGAAAGAGATATAAATTTACAAAATGCATTAGAGGATATAGATAAATGGTAACGATATCATATAAATATTAAATTTGAAATAACTAATATGACGTTTATATTATTTCCACAATTTACACATAAGTGAGCTACCTTTAAACACTTGATCTTACTTGATCTGAAAGTTTTAAGCAGTCCAATAAAGCATGAAGAATACGCTATTAAAAAAATTTTCTTTTGTTACATGAGAGTTGTATCATATTACCATTATCGTTTACCGTTACTTTCATATGACTATACTATATATTGACCAATCATATTCAATCTGATCATAAAATAAAACAGCCAATAAAAACGAATTTCTATCATGCTAGGAATTCTTAAATGAATATTTATACTCGAAAGAAGTGGTTATGAAAGAGATTCTAAAATTCTCAAGATTGTGAGAATTATTTTCTTGCAGAAAATAAACAAAAATCCATTGGATTACATTAGATAATGATCATTGCATGGAAATCTATGAAATAAAAACCTGTTTAAAATTGGCGTAGTTGATTAACATTACCAAATTAGATGATTATGCAATATTTGTATAACATATTTTTGATCAACATTTCTTTATTTAGTACAAAATTTAGGAAATTTTCGTAAACTGCATAATTTTAAAAGTTTGACAAAATGCATGCATGAGAATCAAGGAAAATAAAAATGTTAGTTTTCCTGAAAAAGAAATTACTTACAATATTTACATGGGTTATGCATTAAGAAAAATTAAATGACATAATCAGTTGATCAAAAGTTAATTTTAGATTTGTGTTTAGTAATTTTCTCGTGATAGATTTCTTAAATATTAGATTTCAATGAACTTTACTGATATAGAAAGAGATTAGTTTATCATATTTAAAGATTAAATTGATATTATCAAGCCACTAAGTATATAATTTTATTTACAAATGATCGATAAATAATCAACAAATATACAATCCAGCCATAATTACCAATCCAACCCAGCGAACCATCAGCGAAGAAAAATTCCAAGAAAAAGTCCAAGTAAAAATAAAAATCCCAACCACCATCCAGACCACCCAACTGAAGTCAACACCTGGCCTTTTCACAAATCTTTGTAAAATAACCACTGCTCTAAAAATGCCTCTTTTTGACAAAAGTTTTCAGCTTCTAGTGTGTTTATTCTTTGTCTTAATGGTTCTTCACAAGTATTTTGATCAGCTATAAGATATGCTAGCCTATCTGTCATTAGTAGTCTTCTTCTTTCTTCTTCCTATACTTGAACTTGTAATTCAGTAGCTCTTTGAAGTTTATTTCTTTGAGACGTGCGAAAAATTTTCATACAATCAGTTTTCTTTTAAGAAGAATTTTGAGAAATATTTGAGGAAGGCATTGTTAGATTTAAAATATTTGAAAAACTTTA